CACATCCAATCATTATAATTGTAGCCATCAAAAGTGACTTTTGAGCAGAAGCTCAAGAGCGAGAAGTGTTTGGAGGAGTTGTTGTTGGAAGTTGACATCTGAAAAAGAAGAAGGACAAGTTTTGATTAGATAAGAAAATCCTTAATATAACACCTAAAAGAAATATTAAGGCTATGATCCAACTAAATAATTCACAATTCAGAAGTGGGATGTCGTAATCTAATTGTAAATTATTTAAAGATAGGTAAATGAGGATTTACTAATTTCACCACGAAAAACGAAATTTAAATGAATTAGGTTTTAATGAAATTCCTAGATCTTTTGATATTCATTGAACTATTCAATGGCATGTTTATTTGTTTTTTTTTCAACAATAACATCCTACTTATAGCAAATTCATATATACACATAATAGCATTCTACTTATACCAAATACACATTTTCACATATATACATAATAGCATCCTACTTATACCAAATACACATACTTTTATATATATATATATATATATATAATATATATATATATATATATATACCACATATACAACAAATACACATATGTACATAATAGCATTCTACTTATACCAAATACACATACTTTCACATATATACATAATAACATCCTACGTATACCAAATATACACATACTTTTATATACATATACCATATATACAACAAATACACATACGCACATCATAGCATACTTATACCAAATACAAATACTTTCACATATATACATAATAGCATCCTACTTATACCAAAAACACATACTTTCACATAATACATAATAGCATCAAATACACATACACCAAATACACATACATTCTCAATATATATGTCAAATACACATTAGCATCCTACTAATACCAAAAATATATACTCTCACATACATACATAATAACATCATACTTATACTAAATACACAAATTTTCACATACAAACACCAAATTCACATACATATATCAAATACACCCATATACCACATATACACAAAATACACATACATTCACATACATATTATACACACATACATACACCAAATACACATTTTCACATATATCACCAAATTAAAATGCATATATCAAATACACATATATTTTGCAATTAATCTTCAAAATCACAGTAAATAGAACCTGTGGTGGCCGTTAGTCAACAATTGGTGCAGTCGTGGTGGTAATCATCGCCGGTGACAGCCATACCAGATGGTAGCGTCGGTGACAGTGGAGGAAAATCAATTCTGAAACAATTTCGCAATTAATCACGAATTCAAGTGGAAATCTACAATAAAAGAGAAAGAAAATGAGAAATGAGGAAGGAAAAAATGAACCTCGAAGGAAATCGACAACAATAGTGTCGGAATAATGTCAAAGTGGAATCAGAGATATCTAAGTGGGGAGTTTTCGGTGTGTCTTCTAAATGTAACATCCCGGGTCCAGGTATACCTCGCAACCCTTGATCATTTGAGTAATTGGCCATTTTAGTCTCTTCATGAGAAAAGGTGGTGAATGAGTACGCGGGACGTACGCGAGTGTACGCTCAGCGTACTCATATGCGTGCATTTGACACGGAAGCCACCTAGTACGATGGGCGTACCAGAGGGTATGCTGGGCGTGCTAGGCCCAGAGTGAAAACCCTAATTTAGGGTGAGTCCCCTATTTAAAGGATATGATGGCCTCATTCCTGGCCACCATTCCCAGACACCAACCCTTCTAAACCCTAGTTTTCGTTCTTAGAGCTTGTGAGCGCATTTGAGGGCCTAGAGAGCATTCTTGAGTTCCTTTGGAGTGAAGAAGGAGTCTTGAAGAAGAAGGAGTAGGATTTCAGGCTTTGGATCTGATTTTATCTTAGTGTCGAGCTTCATTTTGAGGTATAAAGCTCAAAGCTTTTTCACTCTTTTGGTTTTTGCATCATGTTAGGGTATTTTAGGGTTTTGTCCCAAAAGGTGGAGACTTTATGTGATATTGTACTCCAAAGACTATGATCCACCCCCTTTGAGTGTATTTTGTGGTGTAATTATTGGATTAGTGTCTAAGTCCATAACTATAATTGGTATGTACTTGACCCGACTCGGCATGGTCCATTTGGGTTGCATGGCATCGGAACATTTGGATAGACCGTTTATGAGGAAAAGACATTTTGTGACATATTAATATATTATAAGTTCTAATATATTAATATGAAATCATGTTATTTAATTAGTATTGATCAAGAATTAATTTGGACTTAATTTAGTGATCAAAAAGAGACTAATTAAATATATGGGGATTGATTGTGTAAATCATTCATTCTTATATATGTGGGCTTATGATCCAAGATTCCTTTATGTTGGGTTTAACCCATGTGGTGATCCATGGATACTCCATGGAGGTTAAAACCCATGGAGCATAAGGAATGGGTAAAGTCATGAGTTACATGGTGTAACCCTAATAGCCACACTATATAAGAACCCCTTTAGTTCAAGAAATTGGCACTAGTGATACATATTTTTGAGGGCTAGCCGATTTGAACATGTATGTCTTCTTCTCATGGTTATTCCAAGAGTTCATGATGTTGTGTGAACCATTTGAGATGTCACACTTGGGGCACTAGGCTCTCAAGCTTCATGGAGTCAAGCAACAACAACAAGGTATGTATTCTATCTATTTTAGTATCCTAGTATCAATGTTTTGGTATGCTAGTTAGGATAATACCTTGGATAATCATATTTGCATGTATAATAGAGAAAACATAGATCCAAGGTATTTAGGGTTGCATGTACACTTAGGAGTATTAGAATGCTCAAAACCCATCAGTAATGCCATAAAAATCCAATCTTGGTCGTTAGTATCAAGCCATGCAAGAGCTATGAGCTTGTTGAGAAAAGAGAGTGAGTGTTTTTTGTGTGTTTGTGACCATTCCAGCCATGCAAAGGCTTAAAGTCGCTGACTTTATGGAGTAAGAGCTATTAGAGGGTCCAGATCTGTGATATGAGCCAAGGTCTTAACTGATTAAGACCAAATGAGTGAGAGGGGTGAAACTGGGATGTACGTTGGGCGTAATCCCAGTACGCGCAGCGTAGGGGTCGAGCATCCCCGATGCCTGTATGGCAGCCGAGTACGCCCAGCGTAGAGAGTTGGTACGCGCAGCGTACTCCCTACCGTTGACCTTTGGCTGACTTTTAGGGTTTGGTCAATTTGTGGACTATTAACCCCATAGAGGGGTAAAATGGTCTTTTGCCCTTCTGTGAGTTTGTAAAAGGGTTAGTTTAGTTTCAGTGAGAGCCTTTATTGATTAGGGATAATTATCGTTGTGTTAGGCGGAGGCTAGACCGGTGATTCGAGTTCGAGATTATCCGAGTTCTTACGAGGTGAGTCTTCTCACTATACTTACCTTGGGTGGTAACCTATGTGTGACCGGAGGGTCTTATGTGCATATACTGTGTATTGATATATCCTGCTATTTGTTTTTGTGATATTCTTACGAGGTGAGTCTTCTCACATCGACTGTGTTATGTGTTATGTGTTTCAGGTACTTCTCAAGATCACGTGAAGGCGTCGGCTTGATTGTACACACATCAGGGATTTGAGTCATGTTTTGAGAGGATCCTGAATTTGCTATATATATAGTTTTTGGAATATGTGTTTTGATGATTTGATATTATGACACTTTGAGATGTTTTGAATTAAGAAAAATGTGTTTTAAGTTTGAAAATTTTTGTTTGAAAATTTACGTTGTTACACTAAACCCTAAAGGTGTCGCCGCTATGTGTTCTAACCGTCATGAATAGTCGACTGGGCAAAAATCATCGGAGAAAAAGATATGGAAAACAAACAGAAATGAAAGCTAAAAGCAGAAAGACGAAGTGTTATCTACGTCGACCAATAGGGGCGATGATAAATAGTAGCGACAATAAGCAATAGCGACAACTTCTATGGAGGGGACTTATGTCGCGTCTTTTTTTAGACTTGTAGCAGTGACTTATTGTCGTCGGTATTGAGTTTGTGCGAAAACAAGGCCCTAACCATTGGATTAGATACTCGATCGGACGGGTGGGGTTTACCAGAAGAGGATAAAACGGATTCGGTCAACATGACATTACTGGCGACGCCTTTAGCAGCAACAAAGGCTTCTAGCGGCGACAAAGTGTTGAGTATCCGCTAAAAGTGTTGGTCGCTGAGCCGGTAATGCATTGATTTCTTGTAGCGTTAGTTTTAATAAAAAAAAATTATTGAATATAAGCATGTTAAAGGTCTCCACGTCTAACGGCAAAGACGTTTGGATTTTCTATAAAGACAGACTCTCTAATATCGCATTTTGGAAGTTGTTGCTTTCGAAAAAAAAACTGTTCAAAATAATCCTTTGACAATCGACAGGCAGCGACAACGACTGCCGACGGTTACCTTCTCCCCTCCTTACGCACGGTTACGGCTCTTAACTATCGGAGGTTGCAACTGTTATTGGAAGACGGAGAGAAGTTATCTCGTTTCACTGTGATGTGCGTTTTTCTTTTTCCCTAGATTAGATTACTTGTGATTTTATTCCATGATCTCGTTATTTTTCGAAAATTTTCAATTTTAGTTTTTTAGTTTCAGATTTCTTAGTTCGACCTATTCTGATTCTCTTTTTCATGCAATTTTATGTTTATCGAAACTCACCTATATATTTTTTAACTCTTCATTTCGTGTTTGTTTTGCTATCGTGTGTATGTTTACATTAGACATCTAGCATAAAGACGCTTTTCCGTTTCTATTTTAAGTCAAACCTATGTTTTTAGCAGATTGCATGTGTAGCCTGCAATATCGACTTTGATTTTCAGAATAAAAAAAACCATTTAGGTTGATTTGGTATATCTATTACTTTGTATGTATTCATTAAAAGGTATGTTGATACAATGCATTAGTAGTTGTATGATTTCGATTCATTTACATTAAAACTAATTCTACAAAAAACCCTAGAAGTTCCCTAACCAGTTTTTATCTTATTTCATTGACCATTTCCGCAATTTATTATTCTCAGAAATGGCAGAAGTTGCAGAAATGACTGTTCCAGAAAGGAATTGGTTGGAGCTCCCATCTGATGTAACAGCGAATATTCTACACAGAATTGGTTTTGTTGACATACTTGAGAATGCCCAAAAAGTTTGCACTACTTGGCGTAAAATCTGCAAAGACCCTGCAATGTGGAGGATCATTTATATGAAGAATTATTCAGGGAAAGTTCAACAGCTACGGGAGATATTTAAGAATGCTGTTGATCGAAGCCAAGGCCAACTGGTTGATCTCACCATGGTGTATTTTGCCAATGATGAGCTTCTTCTGTTTGTTGCTGATAGGTATGTAAGCATATTATTGTTATTGGTATTTTGTGCATATGTGGTCACTATGTGAAAATCCTTATCTCTTTATTGTTTTTGTTTCTTTAACAGATCAAGTCAACTTAGACGTCTAGAAATTGTATGTTGCTATCATGGAAAATGGGGCTGGAGTGATGCTTTGAAGAAATTTTCATTCTTAGAGGAACTTAATATCCACAGACAAAAAATTCCAAACACTACTAGAAAACTGATGCAATAGCTACAGCACAATCCGTAGCTATTCCGTAGCTATAAGCGGATTGGTACGGAATTGCTACGGAAAAATGTTTGTATCATAATGGCCCGTGGGAAAATTATAGCTACGGAATTTTCTGTAGCTATCATAGCTACGGAAATAAATAGCTACGGATTTCCTGCAGAATAGCTACGGAATTGAATAGCTACGGAACTAATTAGCTACAGAATAGCGACGGATCAAAATAGCTACGGAATAGCTACGGAACTAAATAGCTACGGAAATCCGTAGCTATTCCGTAGGTAACTTCATTTTATTTATAATAAAAAAAAATTAAAAAATTTCCAATTTTTTGTCAAATACCACATTCAATTCACATTTTTCCCAAATACCAAATTAAATACACCAAAAAACGTCCCTAATACCAAGTTTGACACATTTCATTCTATTGTCCAAAATATAATACAAAAGTAAGCACTAATTAACAAAATAAACAATACCAAGTGTTTACAAATTCAATTGTTCAAAAATACTTATCAATTGTCCTCAGGTGGATTATCGGGGGGAGCACGGGGTTGATTTGCAGACATATTCATCATCCTCATAACCATTTCCATTTGTTCTTTCATTTGTTGTTGTTGTTGTTGTTGTTCCATGGTGATGGTGGTGGTGGTGGTGATGGTGGTGGTGGAGGTGGTGGTGATGGTGATGGTGATGACGGTGACGGTGATGACGGTGATGATGGTGGTGGTGGTTGTGGTGATGATGATCATCATCATCATGATGATCATGATGATCATGATGATGGTGATGGTGGTGATGATGATGATGGTGATTATGATGATGATGTTGATGATGATGATGATGTATATGAGTTTGTGAGATGTATGTGAACGTATTCATAAGCATTATAGTGTTAAACCACTAAACGAGCAATGGATCCCGTATGTGCACACGGCTTTATAAATGATATTAATAGCTATAAATTGGTGAAAATATAGATAATCATGTATAATAGAGGTGTGAAAAAAACGGAGCGAAAAAAACGGCGTTTGGTGCCCGAAAAATCAAAAATAATACGGATTAGCTACGGAATATGTTTTCCGTTAGAATTTCGTAGCTATTCCGTAGCTAATTAGCTACGGATTAGCTACGGATTTTTCTTATTTTTGATTTTTTGGGCACCAAACGTCGTTTTTTTCGCTCCGTTTTTTTCACACCTCTATTATACATGATTATCTATATTTTCACCAATTTATAGCTATTAATATCATTTATAAAGCCGTGTGCACATACGGGATCCATTGCTCGTTTAGTGGTTTAACACTATAATGCTTATGAATACGTTCACATACATCTCACAAACACGTATACATACACATATACCACAACTCATTCATGTATATAAATATACATATATACAAACATAATTCATCACAAGTTGGTGAAAAGTATAAGCATTACAATGTTAAACTGTGAAACGAGTACTTGATCCCGAAGGGGCACACGACTTTATGAACGATATTAATAGTTATAGGTTGGTGAAAATATAGATAATCATGTATAGTAGAGGTGTGAAAAAAACGAAGCAAAAAAAACGACGTTTGGTGCCCGAAAAATCAAAAATAAGAAAAATTTGTAGCTAATCCGTAGCTACTTAGCTACGGATTAGCTACGGAATTCTAACGGAAAGCATACTCCGTAGCTAATTCGTAGGTAAATAGTATCTGTAGGTATCCCGTAGCCATTCCGTAGCTAATTAGCTACGGAATAGCTACGGATTAGCATCCGTAGCTACTCCGTAGCTATTAGCTATGGAATAGCTACGGACTGACGTCCGTAACTATTCCGTAGCTATTCCGTTACTAAATTAGGGCATCCCATTCTGTAGCTGATCTGTAGCGATTCCGTAGCTAATTAGCTACGGAAATTTTCCGTAGCTATTTTCCGTAGGAAAACCCCATGTTTTCTAGTAGTGAAAAGAAGCTATTGAAATTGTTGGGCTTTGTTGCCCTATGTTAAGAACACTGAGAGTGAATCAAGAAGCGTGTAGGTTTTGGCCTTGGGATACTGTTGAAAAGTCTTACACGATACGTAATGAGACAGCCATAGCTATTGGAGAAAACTTACCTGAGTTAAGGCACCTTGAACTTATTGAAAACTACATGTCGTATACCGGGTTGCAAGTCATTTTGGATGGTTGTTGTCATCTTGAATTGCTTGACTTGCGTCAGCTGGTATATTAATCTTAAAGAAGATCTTTTGAAAAAACGTTTAGAAAAAATCGAATGTGTAAAACTGCCAGACGATTCTCTTGATGGATGTCTCTATTTTCATAGAATAGATAACTACACATCTGATGATGACTATGCTTTTTATTAATGGACGGTAAGTTTTCTATTTAATTTATTTTTTTTTCCTTTACAATGTTTAAGATTATTGTTATATTATTAATTACCTGTTAGCAAGGAATTGTCTTAAATTAATAACAGTGTAAATGTTGCATTAGAAGGTACTTACTAACTACGGTTGATGTATTTTTTGAAGGTGTGGCTGTTGCGACCAAGAAATTTTCTTTCGTCTTTAATTAATAGTGGTGAATCATTTCCGTTTTATGCTCAAACTAGAGTATAGTTTAAAGATGTGATGTTGGTTTCTTGAATTGTTATCTTTAAGGGTGTTTCTAGTTGTTATCTTCCATTATGTTTCAAAATTCCATATTTTTCTTTGACTGGGAGTTTTTATGCATGGGACAAATTAATAAAGTAACATTGATCTTTGAAGCCATCAACATATTAGTAGCAAAATGAAAACAATTACAAAATAAAAAGCATGTATGAAAACATGAAAAAAGTTGTCAAATATTTTTTTATTTTTTGACGAGATGTTCATGTGGACAAGCATTTTATCTACAAAAGATTAAGAGTTTGTTTGGTATGATGTAATAGAATCAACAAAGATAGTTAAATAGTTAAATGTATCATTACCATTCCATTGTTATTTTAAAATGAAATAAATCAAGAATCATTAATCCATGTTTGGTATGTAGGCTCATGATGAAGGAATGGAATCATTGAAATCATTAATTGATGATGACAAAATACCCCTATACACAAAATACATATGTTTACTATTTGTTAAAACAAGTATCCGGTTAAAACTTATAGTTTACATTGTGCCAAATAGATACTAAGAAAAAAAACCTATAATTATCAAATTAACATAAACAAATTAAACATCAATGCTTTTAAAATAATCTCATAATAAACATGTACAATCGATCAAATCATAAAAAAATATTAGGCAACTTAAAAAAATAGAAATGTCAAATCTTTTCTTCTAATAAAACAGTACATTAGATGACACGTGGCACCACCTTGGTCCATCCGTCTTGGCTTTTCCCGCTCATTTGATCTAACTAAAGTTCCAGAATTGCCCTTCATGTTAATAATCACTGAAAAGTCGAAAATTTTGAAAAATCTTTTTATAAATCGGTAAATATTTAAATCAGGAAATCAGGATATTTGAAATTTGAATTTTCAATTATACCATATAATTATGCAACAAATATGGCAGAAAATAAATGTTAAACTCTATCACTCCCAAAAAATCAGCAAATCAAATTTCAATCCCAATAAATCAGCAATCGAATATGAGTCGGGTATATATACAACTTTGCATGCGTGTTTACCTTCCTGTTTCACTACGCATAGATCAGACTTTATTCATCAGGTAAGGAGACTATATTGTTTACTCTGTGTTTTTAATATATCGATGGTATACTCATGGATTTATCGCTCTTTTTTTTGTGGTTGCAGTGTGCTTTTACTATATCCAGGGTATATATTCATCGACTTTTTAGTTTTGGACTGCATAATCAACCAGGTCAGTTTACTGGTTTTTTTTAAACTGTTAACCCTGTTTTTTATAACATGTTAACCCTGTTTTTTATAAACTGTAATTAATCATATTTTTTCCTAAATGTATTTAATTGTTTTAATTGTTTTTTATAAACTGTTTCATCATGTACCTGTATCACGGATTGTTGAATAGCAATGTATTTTATAAACTGTTAATCATGTTTTTCCTTATGTATTTTAACTCATTTATGTACCCATAACTCACTTAAAGAAATTATAACATTGTGTATTTCTATCGATCAAAATCAGTTAAATAGCAATGTACTTTTTTTAAGTATATGTTTTCTTTACGATTTTTTTGATTATATTTAAAAAATTTTGTTAAATGTACAGTTTTTTTTTAATTTTCAAGGTACAATGGAAGATATTACTCCGGTAAAGGAGATTGACTCAATCAAGGACAATTTCACAATTAAGGTTCGCATCATACGTCTTTGGACTCAAAAGTCAAAATTTGATGCAAATGACACATACTCGATTGAAATGATTTTGATGGATGAGGAGGTATAACATGCATATATTCAATTATTATTTTTATAAAAATTTCTTGATATTTGTAAATTAATTATTTTTTAGGGAAGGAAAATTCATGCATCTTGTCTGAAGAAATGGTTTCCTAAATTTCAACGCTATTTAAAAGAGGATGCTTCATTATACATCAGGAAACCTAATGTCGCACCAAATACTTCAAACTTTAACTTTGCTGATCCGGATAGAAAACTTACTTTAAATCCCGATACAACTCTAAAAGAGTGTGAAAACTTTTCTGGTTCTGCACATGGCTTTGCTTTTGTTGACTTCCATACGATTCTTTCTAACAACATCCTGGAGTCAAACTCTATTGGTTGGTTCTTTTAATATTAATTTTTCTTATATAACATCCTATTTTCTTTCTTTTTATTATAAATTCATAATTTTTATTAACTTGAGCATATGTTTTGTTGCTTTTGTAGATATTATTGGACACCTTGGAACAAGATAAATCAAAACACAAAATGCTCATGCATCTTCAAGATATAGAGTATTCACCATTATTATAAACAAATAATATATTTTCTTTTAAATTATCTACATTATTTCTTTATTTTTTAGGGATACTAAGCTTAAAGTAACTTTGTGGGGTCATAATGCATACTACATGCATGATTTTCTTGCTAACAATAACAACCTTGCTCCAATTGTTGTTATTGTTCAATTTGTCAAAGTGAAGTTTATTAATGGTTTGTAATTATATTTAACAACAATTTTTAAGAATTTTATATTTATAATTTAATAATCAATTTTATTTTTGCAGGTCGTCCTTTTACATCAACTTACTTTGATGTTAGTAGGTTGTTCATAAACAATGATATCGATGAAATTACAATCTACAAAAACAAGTATTTTGATTTATAATTTCCTTTGTATTATCATATTTACTTATTTCATACTATAATAAATGTAATACCTTTCTTTTTTATCAATGAACATATTGATATCTGAAAATGGACAACAACTCATCAAGTGGAATCAAGATGATTGCATCAAAACAAGACACGGAACACGATAACTTTCTGAAAAATAATTTGTTTTCGAATATCGATGATGTGTTTGAACCTTTGAAGGTACTTTACGTTATTTTTAAAGTTGCTACTTTAATGCACTTTTATTTTTAAATTTTAAAAGTTTAAGAAACAAACATAGTATATTGTTATAATGAAACTAACATACACTGGCATAAACTAACATTTTCTTAACATTAAACATTATTTAAATTTCCAGGGAAAAACAGTCGTTATTGTTGGTACTGTTAAGGGAATACGTCAAAACATACGTTGGTATTACCTTGCATGTAGCAACTGCAAAAAGTCAGCAAAACGAAAAGAGTCTTCTACTGATAAGGTTGATGGTTCTCATGCAGTGGTCGAAATTGTTACTTATGAATGTGCTAATCATAAATGCAAAAATATCAAATTTTCGGTTTCCAAGGTATTACATATTTATTTTATATAAAAACAATATATGTTTATCATAATTGTGTAATATAATATGATTTTATACTTTATGTAGATTTAAAATCCCACTTCGGGTTCAAGACAACACAGGAACCTTGACTTTAACCTTATTTGATCAAGAAGCAAATAAGTTGTTTAAATATACAGCTAAAGAGTTGTATGATAAAAACAAGAAGGTATTATTTTATAGTTCTAAATTACTTCGGTTATACAATTATATATTTATACACAAATTTTCTAACAATATTTATTTATATTTTAGCTTGGCATCAATTTGGATTTGTATCCAATGGAGTTGAAAGTTGTGGTGGACAAAAAGTTGGCAATTAAGTTTGATATCTCACGTTACAATGTCACTAATAAAAGTAATATTTATGGGATATCAAGATTAACCGATAATGCAGACATAATTGATGAACTGGAAGAAAAGAATATTATTCCACAGATTATTTTCAACAATTATATTTAGTTTTTACCACTTTGACCCAACAATATCTGACTCAATAGCATTTTGTTTTTGATCTGATGATGCAGTCTCCTTTCATTCATGATTGGTTCTTCAGATATTGGTTCCCAAGAGACCAAAGTTGTCAAGGTTGTAGTTTTTAAATTATAATTCTGAAGTATTATGGTTTAATGTATAACAACTAACTAAATTTTTTTCTAGGATTCTTTTTCACAGACAGGTGACAATTTAACACCTTGTGCTAGGGACAACTCAACTGCAACAAGTCCTACAAAGTTGATTTCTACACCAACTGAGTTGAAAAGAAACCTTGCTACATGCATAGATCTTGATGAAATGGAGAATTTGTCAACATCTAAGTCTGCTCGATTGCCACCACCGGGTGAACAACCAATGCCTCTTTTGGTCCCCAAGAAAGAAAAGTAAATGTATTTTACTTTTCCAAACAATCTTACTTCATGGTTAATTTTGTTTCTGCATCATAGACTCTTAAGCCGTTTACATTTTTAGGTGGATTGATTTTTGAATGGTTTTTGTTTGGGATTTGATGGTTTTTATATTTATTTCTTGAATATACATTGTGTTATTTTTTTTCATTCCTATAATGTCGTTTACTATGTTATTTTGATTTTGGTAGAACTGATTTTATACAACATTGCTTTTATCTCCCAAATGACTATTATTTATTCAATATTGGATAATATAACATCTTATTATGACTTTATTCTTCATTCGAAAGTATTCATTAAGGAGTAAACATTAATCTAGAGATTAATACAATAAATAGCAATGTACTATCATTTATTTGTGTATAGAAAAAATAAAAGTATCATGATATTAGACATCAAATATAAACATTAAGTAATATTAGGTATTTGTTATTGAACATCACCAAAAAAAATCATTTGATAATAACATTGTGTATTTCTAACTGTATTTAACTAAGTTATTTACCCATAAATCACTTAAACAAATGATAACATTGTGTATTTCTATCGATCAAAATCAGTTAAATAGAAATGTACTTTCTTTTTTACTGTTTCAAATTTTTTTTAATGTTTTTTATTTAACGGTTTTTTTGTTTGCTGATTGTAATTGTCAAATTTACAACTTTCTCTTTCTTTTTCATGTTAGATTTTTTTTTCTTTTTCCTTTTTTTTTAAATGTCAGAATTTGAACTTACAATAACCAATATTTCTGAAAAGAATGCGACTCCAATAGTACCAATGATGGAATCTGGATCCCCAAAATTGCCCTTAAAGTTTTATTCTGAATTTGTACATAACGTTTCTAAATAGGTTCTTCAAGTTCCTAATTTAGTTTTAAGGTTCTTCTACTTTATAAATTCATGTCTCGACACAACAAACGACTTAGCTTTAGCCCAAATATTTGTTTTCGTTCTTCATTTCTATCTATACATAGAAATGGTCCATGTTTAAGGTCAATTTTCGTAAATGGTCCCTGTTTCATAACAATTTACAACTAACGTATCATTTAACTTGTGAATCATGAACAAAAATTTATATACATTTTGTTTACTGATACGTTTTTTAATATAACGTTTATAAATATGTTCTACAATTTCCTAATTTAGTTTTAAGGTTTTTCTACTTGATAAATTCATGTCTCCAATTCAAGATCCTATATGTACTTTTATTTGTTGCTGATTATAGCAATGTAATTTCTGCCAAAAGAACTTTATTTTTACACTTATATCATGGATTGTTCAATTTGAAACGTAAATATTATACAATGCCTAAATTGCCCCTCCACTATCAAGATAGTATTTAATCAATCAATTGTAGAATTTACATTATCTTTGTATTTAACAAACTTATTTACTAATAACTCACTTAAACAAATGTTAACATTGTCTATTCTATCAATCAAAATCAGTTAAATAGCAATTTACCTGTATCACGATTTGTGTAATTAAAATAACTATATGTTTTGTTTTTAAATCTTTTAAAATGCCTAAAATGCCCCTCCCACTATTAAGATACTCTTATTTACTAATAACTCACCCAAATTGCCCTACAAGTTTGATTCTGAATTTGTACATAACGTTTCTAAAAATGTTCTTCAAGTTCCTAATTTAGTTTTAAGGTTATTATACTTGATAAATTCATGTCTCCAATTCAAGATCTTATATGTACTTTTATTCGTTGCTGATTATAGCAATGTAATTTCTGCCAAAAGAACTTTATTTTTAATCTTATAAAATGCCTAAAATGCCCCTCCCACTAATAAGATAGTCTTTAATCAATTAATTGTTAAATTTGACTATGGATGCACTCTATGTTGTTCTTGATTTTTTGTAATTTCATATTCTGTACAATTAATGGCGTTTTACAAAATTTTAATTTAAGACTTTTATATTTAATATAAATAGTATTTGTTTGTATTTTAATTTATCAATGTTATATAACTATACAATAAATATACTTTTTATATTAGGCTACATAAAAAAAATATTTAAATGAAATAATATTTTAAAATTTGACAGACTTACACAATATGATAAAAACTAAATATAATAATAATTAATCATTATACCCGCCGTCGTTCAACTTGAACCTCCCATGTACCCTGGACGTAATCAGGACTGATGTGTTTACGGCGTGCGTCGATGTCTCTTCATCTTTGATTGATCATCCATTTAAACCCTCCCCGTATATGTAAACTCTCATTCTTGCATTTTCATCACCATCAAAAGATAACTTCGAAATTCTCATCCTTAGTGAAAAAAAAATCCGGCGAACAATGGCAACAAACATGAATGTCGATCCATGGGCAAAGCTGAGGTATCAACTATGGACCGTAAGCAGTGAGCAACCAAAAAACCACACCGATTGTAGAGTATGTCAAATGAAACGACAAGAGGTTCACCATTAGAGTTGTCCATGGCGGATATTTTATTGATTATCCAGGTAAAGCTTATGAAAAAACAAAAGTTCACTTTATTACTTTTGTCAACATTGATTTGCTTGACGTGGATTTGCTTGGTAGTTTTTCTAAAAGTTTGGGTTATACAACTATGGGATATTGGTATCATATGCCAACTGAACAACATTCTGGTTTGTCAATGACTCCAATTTTGGATGATGATGCTTTGGGAAATTTCAAAGCAATGGTTAGGGCACATCAATTCCGTGAGATTGAACAACATTCTGGTTTGTCAATGACTCCAATTTTGGATGATGATGCTTTGGGAAATTTCAAAGCAATGGTTAGGGCACATCAATTCCGTGAGATTGAACATTTGTATATGGAACACAAGCCAGTATATGTGCCAACCAATTTCCCCCACTTCATGATGAACTCACCAGCCAAAAGAGTTGAGAAGCTTATTCATCTCTTTGTAACAGAACACCCAATGTCAACAGTTGATGATGGAATAGCATACATCAAGCATATGCTAAACATGACCATTCCCAGAGGAAAGATGGAAGATGCAATTGACATGGCTAAAGAGAATGTTATTGCATGGAAAAACTTAGTGTAGGTAATTGTTATCTTTTTTTTTTGATGAAGTTACATATTTCATGGTTAAGACATTTAATAATTATCTTTTGTATATTGGGTGTAATAGAACATCATAGTTTGTAACCACTTTGAAACTCATATTTTGTTTAATGAAATATATGATGTGTTTATATATTTTCTGTTAATGCTCATGTAACTTTCCAGGTTTATCATTTTTGGAGCATACTATCTTGGTAACTATGGATATTATATCACCAATAAAGATCTCATATATTGTTTTGTGTTGCCGATCTCATGAACCGGTGGAATTAAATATAATATTAATTATATATAACTTTCATAATCTAGAAAAAGTTAACCAAATATTTCGATCTTTTAAGATGTTAACCAAATATCCCACTATTAATATACTCTTTTATCAATTAATTGTGGAATTTGACTATGGATGCACCGTAAGCTGTTCTTGGATTTTTGTAATTTCATATTCTGGACAATTAATGTCGTTTTACAAAACATTAATAGAAGACTTTTATATTTAATTAACTTAATAAGTTATTTTGTTAATAATATCAGTTCACCTCCTTACAGTGAAGAAGAAATAGGAAAAAAAAACATTCTTTTTTTATTAATTTCACTGATATTCATGGATGATTAACAACAATTTGTTTTAATAGTTTCAAATTTTCAAAACAAATTATCCTTCCCTCCACACAATTTCAAAATCAAAAGTTCAAACTTGAATTAAAAGATTATAAAATCCTAACCTTATTTTAATTCATTTTCTCTGATCGTCTTTGCTTTGCCGATAGTAGCTGCGTTTATTCGTTCTTGATTCATGTTGTCCTCTCCAATTGACGATTACAGGTAAGCAAATCTTTATTTCTGAAAAGTTGAAATTTCCAGTTAATATTGAAATCGATTTGTAATACACCTTCGCCTCCAGTCCCCATTGTTCTTACCTTAACACATCTTTGACCTTGTAAGTTTAAAAGATTGACACAACAAACGAATAAGCTTTAACCCAACTATTTGTTTTCGTTCTTCGTTTCTATCTATACATACAAGTCCGACTGTAATGCGTTTTTGTGTTTCAGACTAACCTAAACGTTTGTTTTATCTTTTAACTAAAGAAAATTCCAATTTATGCTCCATGTTTAAGTAAATATGCGTAAATGGTCCCTATTTAATAATAAATGACAACTAACTTCTATATTAACTTGTAAATCATTAACAAAAATTTATGTACATTTTGTTTACTCATATGTTTTTTAATATAAATAGTATTTGTTCACATTTTATTTTATAAATGTTATATAAGTATACAATAAATATACTTTTTATATTAGGGTACATAAAAAATATAAAATATATAAATGCAATCATATTTCAAAAATTGACCCACTTAAAGAATATGATAAAACAAATTACAATTATATGTCAAATATTTTCATAATATTAGTTTATACTTTATTTTGCTTTAATTTAATCATATTCTTTACTGTTTATCATATTAACTTATAAATTAATTGTTGTTATTTCTTCAGATTGCAGATATATCATGAAGTCGTTTAATTCTAAAAAGAGTAGAAAATTAAATAGTTTTTAATTTAGATAATAGAAATAACATTAATTTGTCTATACATCAAGCCGACAAACTTCAACAGCTACAAATGCACTTGATACACCTTACAGCGATATGTTTTTTCTTTAACATTTTTTTTATATTTTTGTTACACATTTTTTAAGCTCTAAATATATCTTTTAATAACACAAAAATATCACATAAATTATTTTCATATTATATAATTACAAAGTTTTATAAATTCTATATATTTTCAAAATATATTGTTAAATCCATATTTAAATAAATATATTATCTTCCTGAAGCAATTTCATAATCAAATAATAACATGTATTATTCTAACAATAATCTTTATTAACATAATAAGAAAAACCAAAAAAATTGTCTACTTCATCGACCACGGAAGATTCATCATCTACAACATTTGTTAACAACGGTTACAAAGGTACATTTCTTTCTTCACTATTATTATTATTTATTATATATTAATATGAAAAATTTAATTTTAACCAAATTTCAATCATTTTTTATATTTAGTTTTATATCAAACACAATTATTTACACTCGTATACATTTTATATCATATACTTTTTATTCGTTATACAGGAACAAATGATTGTATGTACTACTTGCAAGCAAAAGAGAAAAGAAGACAGAGAAAATTATATTTGAATAACAAGAGGTCGAAGAAAAAGAATACAAAATCCAGTGTTCAAAATCGATGTGGAACACATGTCTTAACACACACACATATTTGTAATTTTTTTATTTTATTTTTTAATTTTCACCATTCATATATCTATATAAAAAATACATACATTATCATCATTTTTTATTATTTCAATGTACTAATATAAAATTTACATGCTAATTTAATTTTATATACATGTCTTCAATTTTTTTAACAATTTGTTTTTTACAGATCAATCAAAAAACGTTGTTCGTGAAAAAGAAAATGTTTGTTCCTATAAGTCCCGTGGAAACCAAAATACATCCCTACAATCATCTTCTTCATATATAAATGTTAAAACTCCGTTATCTAACATTTCAAATGGTAATAATTTTGCTTTTCAAAATTATCTTTCAACCACTTTCTAACATTTCAAATGGTAATAATTTTACTATTTTTTTCCAGCCAATAGTAGTTTCAATAACTACACAACTTCAACGTTACAAAATAATAGACATTACTCTGGACTTTGTAATGGTATGACCTCGAGAAATGCATCTACAATAACTACTTCTTCATCATCAATCAAGTTAAATCCAGGATGTCCTAAATTAAAAAGGAAATTGGAAAATTTATCTCCTATTCCATTTATTGACTTGACAACAGATGTAGAAAATATGCATGAAGTCATTATTGAAAACCAAATAATTGGTATTTCCAAAGGTAATCCATATATATACTCATTTTCTTTTTCTTTTACAACTCAAATACTGTATTATAACTGTTTATGAAATTCAACATTTTACTTATACATCTTTATTTTATTACAGAATATTTGGATCATGGTGATCAAATTGTGGTATGTCAAACATGTCATGCAAAATTATGGAAAAATGAATCCATTAGAGTAAAAGAAAGAGGAAACACAGATTATTCATTATGGTGTGGTTATGGCAAGGTTCAACTTCCATATTTAAAGAACGCACCACCAACTTATGAAAGAATGTTTCGAGGAACGGATTCTAAAAGTAAAAACTTTATGAAAAACATTCGACATTACAATTCAATGTTTTCTTTTACGTCGATGGGTGGTAAAATTGATTCTTCAATCAATAGAGGAAATGCTCCATACATTTTCAGACTTGGTGATCAAAATTATCATAGTATTGGAAGCCTTTTACCACCAGATGGATCGCAACCAAAATTCTCTCAGTTATACATTTAGGATACAAACAACGAAAATTCAAATAAACAGAGATGTTTTGGGTATATTTTCAACCTTCTTATTCGTAGTTAATTTCGATCTTTTTTTGTACTAATATTATGTATATTTTCAATTTTTATAGTGGGGAAAAACATCAATCTACATCAATCGATAATGATATTACTGAAGATTTGAAGTTGATGTTAGATTCAAATAATGTCTTGGTTAGCTCTTATAGGATGGTAAGAGATACTTTTAAAAAATATCCTCAAGTTGATATGAAGTTAAAAATCATCGGCAGAAGAGATCGAGATGGAAGGACATATAACCTACCAACTGCTTCTGAGGTTGCCGCTTTAATTATAGGTGACATTTCTGATTCAGTTGAAAATAGAGATATCGTTGTTGAAACTAAGTCGGGATTTCTACAACGTATCAGTGAATTGCATCCTTCTTACCTTCCTCTCCAATATCCGCTACTATTTCCATATGGAGATGATGGTTACAGCGTTGATATTCTTCATAGAGGTGTTACATCTACAACAAACAGCAAGCATGCAAAATGTACAATGAGAGAATTTTTCTCTTTTAGAATTCAAGACAGGGATCATTCGTTCTCACTTATTCTTAATTCAAAAAGGTTGTTTCAACAATTTTTGGTAGATGCTTATACCATGATTGAAAGTGAGAGATTGTATTACATACGTAGGCAACAACATGTTCTTAGATGCGAGTCTTATGAGAATTTACGTAACCAAAAATCTCAAGGAACTACAGATATCTCCAACGTCGGCCAACGTGTGATATTACATTCATCTTTTACTGGTGGTGCGCGCTATATGTTGCCGAACTATTTGGATGCCATGTCGTTATGTAAATGGTTTGGATATCCTGATTTCTTCATAACCTTTACGTGTAATCCCAAATGGACAGAGGTTAAGAGGTTTCTTAAAGATACTTCACTTCAACCAGAAGACAGACCTAAATATACTATGTAGGTTGTTCATGATCAAACTTGATGCATTTATTAAAGACTTAAGGGAGAATCACATTTTTGGCATAGTTCAAACAGGTATTTGAAATAATGTTTCTTCATAATAGATAAAAGTTTATGCCATTTATTATATATTTTTTATATTTTTCATTACGGTATAATCATATTTAATTTTTGTGCAAAATATTATGTAGTTGTTTATACAATTGAATTTCAAAAAAGAGGTTTGCCCCATAGTCATATATGTCTATTTATGCATTCTGACTACAAGCTACCCACTGTTGAATTTATCGATCCGATAATTTCCGCTGAGATACCAAACATAGATGAAGATCCAGAATTGTATTCTCTTGTGAATGAGTTCATGATTCATGGTCCATGTGGCGCTGAAAATATCAATTGTCCTTGTATGGTCGACAAAAAGTGCTCGAAAAACTTTCCAAAGCAATTCTGTAATCATACATCTGTTGATCAGAATGGTTTTCCATTATATAGGAGAAGAAACGATGGTCATTTTGTTGAAAAATCGGGTGTGAAGTTGGATAATAGAAATGTTGTCCCTTACAACAAATATCTATTGAAAAGATATCAAGCACATATTAATGTTGAATGGTGCAATCAGGGTTCTTCTATAAAGTATTTATTTAAATACATAAACAAGGGACTTGATAGAGCTACAGTTGGCATTGTACGAAGCAATAACGAGTGTGATACTAATGATGCGGTTGATGAAATAAATGAGTACTACGACTGTAGATATTTATCTGCATGTGAAGCATCATGGCGAATTTTTAAATATGATGTTCATTACATGTATCCTTCTGTGGTTAGACTGCCTTTTCATCTTCCTGGTCAACAATAAATTATATATGGGGAATACGATGATATTGACGATGTTTTGGACAAACCTTCTATTGCTTCTTCAATGTTCACAGCTTGGATGGAGTGTAATGCAGTTAATGCTGATGCACAGAAACTTACGTATGTTGAATTTCCTACAAAGTTTGTTTGGCAATGTGGTGATAGGATTTGGAAGCCACGGAAAGTAGGAAAGTGCATTGATAGAATTCATTCGGTTTCACCTAATCTAGGTGAAGCTTATTTTTTAAGGATATTGTTAAATAAGGTGAAAGGTTCCAAATCATTTGAAGAAATTCGCACAGTAAATGGTGAAGAATATTCTTCTTTTAGAGATGCTTCTTATGCTCTTGGTCTCTTGGATGATGACAAGGAATACATCGATGCAATCAAAGAAGCGAGTCATTTTGGATCTGGTTTTTACCTACGATTCTTATTTGCTACATTGTTGATGTGTAACAGTATGTCTAAACCGGAGGTTGTTTGGGAAAACACATGAGAATATTTGGCAGATGGAATTCTTTATAACCAACGACAAAGATTCAAGTCTCCAGGTATTAAAGTTATTTATTATTATTATTTATTAAACTGCCAATTATTTATTTTTAAACATACATTAATTAATATTTTAATTATAATACAAATAATTTTAATAATATTTCAAATTAATTTGCTCTTTCTCCTACAGACTTATCACTCAATGAAGATCAACTTAAGAACTTAACTTTGTTCGAGATTGAACAAGTTTTACTTCGGAACAACTTGAGTCTAAAAAATTATAAAAACATGCCTATCCTGGATGTTGATTATGTTTCTTCTTCAAACAATCGACTTATCATCGAGGAGCTAGATTATGACATTCCCATTATGAAGACTGAGTTTGATCGTATGTTTCTTGCATTGACAAATGAGCAGCGTCACATTTTCCTTTATATCATGACTGCAGTTAAACAAAATAAAGGAGGTGTCTTCTTTGTTTATGGTTATGGTGGAACTGGTAAAACTTTTTTATGGAAGACAATATCTGAAGCTATTAGAAAAGATGGTCATATTGTTTTAAATGTTGCTTCAAGTGGGATTGCTTCACTATTATTGCCCGGAGGTAGAACAACACACTCTCGATTTGTAATTACATTTGAACTAACAGAGGATTCTGTTTGTAGAATAAATCGAGGTAGTGACCTTGCTATCTTATTGAGGAAAACCTCATTGATAATTTGGGATGAAGCTCTTGTGGTCCATAACCATGCATTTGAAGCTTTAGATCGAAGTTTGAAAGATTTATTTAGGTCTGAAAATTCTACCAACTCAGATATTCCGTTTGGAGGGAAAGTTATTGTTTTTGGAGGAAATTTTAGACAAATTCTACATGTTATTCCAGGTGGAAGTAGACAAAATATTGTTAATGCTTCTTTAAGCTCTTCATATTTATGGTAACACATAAAGATCCATAAATTAACAAAAAACATGAGACTAACTGTTGGAAGAGATCAATCTGATATAGAAAAAATCAGAGATTTTGCAAAATGGCTGTTGGATATAGGAGAAGGCAAACTTGGTGGTATCAACGATGGAGACACGGTTATTGATATTCCAGATGATATTCTCATTAATGATCCACATGATCACATAGGTTCATTAATCGACTTCGTATATCCTTCAATTTTGGAAAAGTACAACAATACAAGCTATTTTCAAGAAAGAACAATACTTGCTCCAAAAAATGAAGTGGTTCAGGAAATAAACGACCGTTTGCTATCGAAGTTTCCAGGAGATGAGGTTGAATATTTAAGTTCAGATAGCATATGCCAATCTGAATTTGTCCATGATCAGTTTGATGCAAATTTATATTCACCTGATGTTTTAAATGGTCTGAAAGTATCGGGTTTACCAAACCATAAGTTAGTTTTAAAAATTGGTGTTCCCGTTATGTTGTTGAGAAATATTGATCAGAAAAATGGATTGTGTAATGGGACAAGACTCTAGGTGATATCATTGGGCAAACGTGTTATTGAGGCACGTATCATATCTGTAAATAATATTTGAAACCGCACTTTTATTCCAAGAATGTCATTAACTCCATCAGAAAAGAAAATTCCCTTCAAATTCCGAAGAAGACAGTTTCCATTGGCTGTATGTTTTGCAATGACCATTAATAAGAGTCAGGGACAGTCGTTATCGAAGGTTGGTTTGTTTCTCAAACATCCCGTCTTTTCACATGGCCAATTGTATGTTGCCTTATCTAGAGTTCAAAGCAGGGATGAATTAAAATTGTTAATTTTAGATAAGGATGGTAGTCTCACAAATAAAACTTCCAATGTCGTTTATAAGGAAGTTTTTGGGAATTTATAAGAACCGTTTTTCTACCATCTTTTATTTTGTTTTCGTGTATCACACTTCATCCATCATATTAATTAATTAATTTATAATACTTTATTGTATTTGATTTATTCATGTTAATTACATTACAATATCATAATTCTCCATTATTTCTAAAATTTGATATCTTTTTATTTACACTATCAAAAGTATAATTATATTTCAAATTTTAAACCGTGGAGTTCCACGGGTTTAAACCTAGTTTACATATATAACACAGAGGTGAGTATGAGTTGGTTTGGATGTATAATCGAACCCAAAAGCATCTGTTTTCAAATTTCTCAAACCGAACCCTATATCCAAACTGATGGATTTGGATTTTCGATTTCCGATTACTACCGGTTTGGTTTTGTTTTATACCATGAAATCATTACAGACAAACTTAATCCTTGAGAACTCATGTAGATGCTAAGATGGGTTGATCTTATATACAGTGCCTAAGGATTACGAATGAGAATTTGGCCCGAAAATTCGAACCGAACCGAACCGAATTAGGCTCGAATAAGCAATTTGATTCAGGTTTTGGGTATCTATATTATGCTTATTCGGTCGTCGGGTTATTCGGTCAAGGTTACCCAAATAAGAACTTATTCGGTTCTAAATATCCGAACCAAATAAGCATTCCTCGTCCCCCTTCTCTGATTGACATAAATCAAAATCACGGTCCACACGTCTGTCCTTTCCGTCCACAACAGAAAAAAACCTACGCCCGTTTTCGTCGTTTCAAAATCGACCAATCTTCTCAAATATTTCCAAACTCAAAATCACTTATATCGATCATTCCTCTTGTTTCAGACTTTCAAAAATCGACCTTCCTATTGTCTATAAGGATTCACGAATTACTACGTTGTCTAGTAATGAAAAATTGGGTTCCAACTTAATAAAATCAAATAAGAAATTAATTCTCATCATGTTAATGTACTATGTAAATGCTATTCTTTCAATATGTTAGTCTTTGAATGTTTTATGTTGATGTATAAAAGTACATTGCTATTCTATTATTTGGGCTGTAGAATCTTAATACGGTTTATTCGGTTCTTTTCGGTTATATTATGTCATTAATCATCATGTACTTGTTATTCGGGTAATAACCGAACCGAAATGATTAATACTCGAATTGAACCGACCTCGTATTGGTTAATCGGTCCGATTTTCGATTCATGCAATTACCCTTATTCAGTTTTCGGGTTATTTAGATTCGGGTCGGTTCAATCCGATTCCGACCCAAATAACATCCCTACTAAGAATGATGTGGGCTGAAAATAGTCGCTCTCAAATAAAAAATCGAGATGCAACAAAAGGGTGTGGAAATGAGCTTCAAACACAAGCCATCTCGTTCCCATGTCCAACGATTACCGGTTCAACCAAGTTGTTATTTTAGAATTATTCTCTACTGATTTATATAAAATATGTATTTATAAAAGTATATTATTTTTAAAACTTCAATACAATCGATTCTGTTCGGTTTTGTTTTTGGTTGTTTTATTTTTTCCTAAAACCAAATCCAAACCGAAATTTTTGGTTTGTAAAAAACTCAAACCCAAATTATATATATATATATATATATATATATATATATATATATATATATATATATATATATATATATATATAACATCAAGGATAGGGAAGAATGTCCATTACTCATCCAAATTTGCGTTCATTAGTAAATATGAAGTTCTTGCTTTCCGTTCCAAAAACTTAATTCCCTAAAAAAACAGCACCTGAAATTTAAACTTGCACAGAAACAGTTTTTGCAATGACAAAAAGACTGAAATTTAAACTTGCACAAAAACAGTTTTTGCAATGAGAAAAAGAAATGATGAACTAATTGAATAAAAATATATCGCCCACCGTGGGGCTCGAACCCACGACCACAAGGTTAAGAGCCTTGCGCTCTACCAACTGAGCTAGACGGGCTGATGTTTAATTTGTTGTGATATTATTACTTCACTAAATGACCTTGATCAGCTCGTTTTGGTTTGGGGTTTTGGGTTGAAGCAGAAATCTTTTTTGGTATGTTTCAATTTGGTGGTGTCGCATCGGAGCCGGAGGGAGATATGGAACTATGGGGATGGAGATGGACGATGTTCCTTGAATTATCGGTCATCGTTGCCTTCGTTATTGGAGTAGGGTTAATTCTAGCAATTGTTGTTGAAACCTTCAAAAGACGATTCAACCATGCGTATGTTCTTCTGTAACCCTAACTTTACCATGATATTCAAGTATGTTATGTGTCTATAGCCTTCTGATGTTTAATTTTCCTACTACAGTCATCTCGAAGCCCACCCGATCTTTGAAGATCCAAATTCTCTCAAACCGGTACCTTTCATCTTTCATCTTGTATCATCTTACCTCTTATCATTATACGCACACTCTGCATCTTCTCAGAAATTAAATGTCGTAATACAGCTTATCCAGTTGAGATTGTTCAGTTTCTCTAGTTTTGATGTACTTTTTTGCGAAGAGTTCAATTAACAATTCACCAAAGTATGTGATTTTCAGAAATAGGTAGTGTGTACCAACACTGTTACGACTATTTGTTGCAGGTTCGATGCCCTTATATTAACGATCCTGCAGAAAAGTATATTTCGTTGATCATTCCTGCCTTTAATGAAGAACATAGATTACCAGCAGCTCTTGATGAGACTATGAAGTGAGTAAATTCAAATCAATTTTGACAATTGTAGCATGATTCTTCATCTATGATTACACTTATAACCATTGTGATCATAGTTGATAGTAAAAGACATACATTGCAATCTAGCTTAGTGGTTGTGACTTGTGAATATGGAACTGATTATAGTCTTGCATCTTTCATGTGTAGTTATCTTCAGCAACGTTCAAGAAAGGATCAGTCTTTTTCATATGAGGTATTTTCTAACTCTTCTGGTGATTAACTTACACACTCAATATAGTTCTCAACTTCCATGCATCATTTTGTGTGAATTTCACACTGAACTGAAGTCAGCATTTGATATTTTGAATTGAATGGATATCTTGAACAGGTAATAGTTGTTGATGATGGAAGTAAAGATGGAACAAAGAAAGTGGCATTTGATTTTGTGAGAAAATATAAAGTAGACAATGTAAGAGTTATCCTTCAAAGAAAGAATCAAGGCAAAGGAGAAGCTATAAGAAAAGTGAGTTAGATTTCTCATCACATTAAAGACCTCTTTATCCATCATGCCTCATATCCTTATAAACTAATCTAACCTCTTGGCTTATGCGAAAGCATTGTAAAAACAGGGAATGCTACATTCAAGGGGACAACTACTTCTCATGCTGGATGCTGATGGAGCAACCAAAGTTGATGACTTAGAAAAGCTTGAAACACAGGTTGGTGTCATTCTTTCTGTATTAAGTAAAAAAGAAACAACCATAAACATTAAAAAAAAAACAACACATTAAATATTTTCCATTTAGATTCTTGCAGTTGCAAAAATGAAAGGTGTGGAAGCTAATGGTTTAAGTGAAGGAATTGGAGATATCCCAATTGTGGCATTTGGTTCACGTGCTCATCTAGAGAAGAAAGCTTTAGCCACAGTTATTACTTCTTCATTATTCTTTTAATTTGATTATTTATCTTTCTTTTTCACTAATTAAATCACTTTATGTTATAGAGGAAGTGGTATCGTAACTTTTTGATGAAAGGTTTTCATCTTGTGGTCCTCTTAGCTGCGGGTCCCGGAGTTCGTGACACACAGGTGATTTTTCTTATTCATATGTTCCAATTAATATGTTAACTAAGAGTCTGTCTGTCTGACTCTGATTCAGACTGTTTGATACCACAACTAAAAGCCTCTGATTTGGTCCTAGACATAACACATGTTGACTCAGTATGATCTGACCCAATCAACAACTATTTATGATATATATGGCAGTGTGGCTTTAAGATGTTCACTAGAGCCGCTGCAAGGAAGCTTTTCACAAATATCCGTTTAAAAAGGTAACAAATAAATGCCATTACTATTTGTGCTATTTTTTAATGCAATATTTTTCCATTTTATAACATGGTTTTATAAATTAACATTGGTTTATAATCTTTATGTAGATGGTGCTTTGATGTGGAATTGGTGTACTTATGTAAATCTTTCAAAATCCCCATAAGTGAAATATCAGTAAATTGGTCTGAAATCCCGGGGTCAAAGATCACTCCATTTAGCATTCTTAACATGTTGTGGGAGCTTACTCTGATGTCTTTGGGGTATAGAATTGGTATATGGAAAATATAAGCACCCGAACATCTTGATCCGAAAAAAAAAGATAATTTGTTTTGTCCCCACATGCTTATCTTAACAGTAAGGATGTCAGAATTCATCTGTCTCCACATTTTGGGGATATCTTAACAGTAAGCACCCGAACCTCTCTCATGTTGGCTGTGGGACCGGTATGACTGTATTGTAGTTGTTGTAGGAGAGTTTTGAAAATGATTTGGAAGAGTTATATCATATATGCATGACTTGTGCACAAAGTATGCATTTTTTTTACAAGATAATGAATTTTCTTTTATGTAATTGTTTATTAACAAACTGATAAATGTATGTCGCGGTGTCTATATGAAAATATTATAGTTGTAAAAAGGTTATTTTAGGAAACATAAAAATTGACCAAAAACATACACTTGTACCTAAAGACAAGTACAAATAGCCAAAAATCTAACATCATCATGTATGCTTTTTGAATGTTGAATGCCTCAAAACCTAACATTAATTCATAGTTTCTTTGGTTCAAACTCAATATTTGTCGTTCTCATTAGATGACCCAAATCCACTTTGGGTTTGTGATAATGGAGTAGTTACAAGTTCTTGTTAATTTAGTCATATTCAACTCAAGTAATTGTTTATTAACTAAATAATTAGTTATAATCCATATAGAAAATGGTATTTATGCAAACAATACGAGACTAATAAGCATGAAAAGGAAATCAGAAAAAAGAATATGGCTTCTTCTTCTTCTTCTTCTTCTTCTTCTTCTTTCCATGAACTCAAAAAGCAAGCTTCTGTTTTCTTGAAAGAGAAGATCAAAACTGCAAGATTGGTGTTAACAGATGTTACACCTGCACAACTGTAAGCATGTTTTGTTTATATCATAAAACGATTTTGTTTTTTTTTTTTGATTTTCATTTTGAGTGGAAATTTTTTATGTTTGAACATGAAGATTGACCGAAGAAGCAACAGATGAAGATTCATGGCCATCAGACACGCGTACCATGGGATTGATATCGCGTGCGGCTTTTGAAGTCGATGAATATTGGAGAATTGTCGATGTTCTTCACAAAAGGTGTTAAATTTATAGGTTTTCTTGAGTTAAAATGATTGATTTTTTTCTTTAAAATTTGGAAATATTGATGCGTGTTTTAGGTTGTGGAAGTTTGATAAAGAGAATTGGAGAGGATCTTATAAGGCTCTTGTTTTATTGGAGCACTTGCTAACTCATGGTCCAGAGAGAGTTTCAGAAGAATTTCAATGCGATAAAGAGGTTATTAAGGAGATGAGTATTTTTCAATATCTTGATGAAAAAAGGTATGCAAATTAATTAGTTTTCAACCATTGGATTTGCGTTTTTGTTGGAAACATATTAAAGACGTCTAGTCTATTAAGTTCATAGAGCTTGATCTAATACATTATCATGGGACAAATTTACAGATTCAATTGGGGATTAAGGGTAAGAGAGAAATCCGAAAGGATTTTGAAACTACTTGATGAAGATCGGTCTTTTTTGAAACAAGAGAGGAGTAAAGCCCGTGAGCTTACAAGTGGGATCAAAGGTTTTGGTAGTTTTACTCAAAGAAGTATCGAGAAAAGATTGGAAGAATCAAGATCACAAATATATTTTAGATGTAATTACAACAACGATGGAGATGAAGTAAACAAGGATTTAAACTATCGAAATCGTGATGTGGGTGATGATGAACATCAAGATAGAGCCTCTCTACTTTCTACTTATGTATAAAAATAAAAAAGGATTAAGGATCGATGAAGTGAGGATAAAAAAAGTTTAATAGATAGAAAAAGTTGCATATTTAGCATACTCTTTGTAAAAATACCAATAGAATAGTAAATAATACACAAACATCTTTGTTTTTTTAATATTTATACGATTACTTCACACGAAAAATTAAAATACATGTTTTAAAATTTAAAGTCATCACCATTTTCCTTGTGTTTCTAATGTTTGTATGAAGGTTTAAGAAGTGAAGAAACAATATAAGAGAAATTTCAAGATTCACATAAATGTTGAAGTTAAGAGTTTAAGATGTTTGACTTTAGAATGTCAAAGAAGCATGATAAAGGCATCCACCATCTCCCTTCAAATTCCAACATATAGGATTGGATCCGTTGAGAGCAGTTGTAAAGATTAAATTATAAATAATTAAGCAAACTACACGTTGACATATCTTCTAAGTTACAAGGCTACACAACAATATATAATAAAAAATGCCATCATCTCGTGAAATCTTAAAGCAAAATCCAACACTTCATTAAATCATCCAGAATATTACTATTTCATCATCGAATCCTATATCCATGTCACAATCATGGTATCTTACTGATGTGGATAATATTCAAGATCTTTTAGAAGCATTCATGGAGAAATGGGAGCATGACAAACGAGGCGGAATGAAGCGCAACTTAAAACGTGCATAACTTTTAATCGATCAGAAGTTTAGAGACCCACAAGGGCTCTCAACAAACAACCGAATGTAGTTTGCCCATGGTCTTCGGCAAAAACAGTCATGTAGGCCCTCAATATTAATTTTTCAATTTCCTATTTTGTTTTATTCATTTTTATGAGAAAATATATTTTTTTTCCGTAATTTCAGGTTTTTCCATGTTTATTTAGGAAGTTAAATAGCAGAAATTGATGTCAAATTTAATTTTTAGAAGGTTGACCAAACCTGCTAAATTTAGCTCCCCTACATATTGAAGTGATCCATACATAACAATTTTTCTCCGTATACAACAATTTATGTTTTGTAGAGTTGTACAATACAACATTTTAAAGCACACATTATAGGGTTCTTGTAAGCTTTTATAAATATCGTGGACATTAATAAACTATTTTCCTTTTGAAATTTTCTTGTTTTTGCTTTCGTTGCAGTCACTTATTGTCATTTTGCAAAATAGCCTTGAACTACATAACTTATTTTTAGATTTTCAATTCATTGGCTCCTTGCTCTTAGGATGAACATCCCATTTTAACAATATGTTGGATATAAGGATTTCGAAATAACAATCATACATGGATATTCCTTGCATCGTGACTATTATATTTTTCGCAATCTATAATTCGCCCTTTATAGCATGGTATACACAAATTCAGAAGTGGAATAATCCAAAAAATCTGATTTGGATTACAGGCCTAATCGAAAACCATAAACACATAATGCCTTGTGATGTTATGTGTCTTAAGAGACAGAAAGATTGTTAATGATCAATTTCGTATATGTGAATGAACAACCCTTTTCCTAGAACATTTACATTCCATTTATATAATGAAGAAAAGTGGTTAAAATCAGTTGCAGCCAAATTTGGCGCCAAAAAAGATAGTTAATGTATGTAACCGATGCCTACATCACCATGATGTCATCAATAGGTTTTGCTGGAAAAATATATGTCCGAAGTCATTCCTGATATATAAATTCGCTTAGGCTTTGGGGCGCTTCCCCTTGGAACCCTGCACTTAGGGGAGCTGCCTTCAGACCCCCGCATCCCCGACTTCAAATTTAACATTTTGAGTGTGCACCACCGCATCTCCAATCTCAGATAGTAAATTGAACTCGGTTTGTCTCGACAATAATAATAATTATACTCAAACATGCTGATGACACAAAAATTACCAACATAATATGATATAGCTTGTAAAATGAGATTAAAATAAAAGAAATTGATCAAATATGCAAACAAACATAAATGAACAACCGAAACTACAAATATATTCCATGGACACCGCTTCTGCTACTACTACCATATATGGTTATATTAAAAAATCAAGTTCTTACCGAGCGATTTTGAACTATTTAATTTGTCGATTTCTCACTTTAAGACTTTGATTTTTCTAAGTGGATGACTGATAGAACTTTTTGTTCTTGATTGATGTTAGGATTAGGGTGTTCAAAAGTATCCAATATCTGATATCTATTCCAAAATTATCTAGATTTTCTGACTCGGATTTGAATATTGATTTTAGATATTTTGGATATACCCATCCGGAATTTTTTATTTATTAAATCAATCAATAATAACCATTGCTTTATGTGTTTCATTTTACACTTCCTTGATAGTCGATTCCTATAATCATTGTCATATAAGACTTTTTGTTGCATTATCTAAATGATTTTTTTCTACTCATCTTTTTATATAAGAAAGCTTTGTTGTATTATCTAAATGATTTTTTTCTACTGGTCTTTTTTTTTCATATTATATAAGATATGAAAGCATCGTAATATTAATTTGTTTCCAGCTAACTTTTTGATAATGTATTTGCAAGTTAATCATGATGTTAATTTCACAAATGATCATTTGGTTTTTGTTCCCTAAAATAGTCCTTATGAAACCTTTTATGCATATGCATGAATGGTCCCTTTGGACGATTGCATACAAATAGTCATTATCATAGATGTCCGTTTGATAGATCCATTAACATGGCCCATATACCTTGCACATGAGGAATTTTCGTTAATTCTGTAACACCCGCACTTTTCGTTAGACATTTCACGGATATACTCTCATTTACGTTATTGAATTAATGTAAAATAGTAAAAACCTCCGCACTACGTTGCAGGTTTGAAACATTTTAGTGTGTCGGGAAACTGTAACATGCAAGTTTATGATCGATGACTTGCTGTTTTTTTTGCTAATTATTGGTTGTTTTGTAAAATTTTGGGGCAAAAAAGACAAAAAAAAAAGGAAAATTTATTAATTTAGGGACTAAAATTGTCAAAGCAGGAAAAGAAATGTGATCAAAAGTGGATAAAAGTAGCTGACTAAGCAAATGAGGTAAAAAAACGGAAAAGGCGGATGAATCAGCCACGTAGTAAAAAGTTGACAAAATGTTGGGGCAAAAAAGGCATATATATATATATATATATATATATATATATATATATATATATTATTTTAGGGGCTAAAACTGTCAAAACAAGAAAAGAAATGTGGTGATAGTGTAACACCCTGTCTCGGGTCATTTCATAATTCAGGTCCATTACCTGAGGATCAAGTATCATAAGGCTTCGGGCCTTGGGGAATTAGAGGTTTCGACCAATTTGGTAGTGGATAATGCAGGTTGTGGCAACCGAGTGTTCAGTTTGTGTTTTAGAGCCCAAGGGTATAACGGAAAGTGATGGTGTGGGCATTTATGAATTTTGGATTTAATTTCGGAAGGTTTTAAGGCAAAGGAGAGTTGTTATGATTGTAGAGCTTCTCATCACCTTTCTGTGGATATAAAGAACGTCGAAATCAGAGTTTGAACGAAGGAGTTATGACCGTTTAAAGTTACGAGGATTTTGGGCTAAGCCGAGTACGTTGGGCGTACAGGGAGTACGTTGTGCGTACAAGGCTCAAACTTGATCGTGGAAGGCATATGTGGCGTACACTGGGCGTACGGACGTCTGGGACAAGCCCTAATTTTTAGGGTTTGTGCCTTATTTAAACACCTTAAGTTGCTCTTGGACCTTCTTATGACCAGCCTCCACCTTTCCAAACCCTAAGAATGAAATCCTAATTGCATTTTGAGTGTTTTGAGCTTGGAAGCAAACTTTGAAGGTGTTTTTGGTGATCTTGAAGGAAGAAGAAATCTTGGAAGTTGCATTGGTGTGGCTAGAGCTTGTGGATCCAAAATCATCACCAACTTGGAAAGCTTTTTGAGGTATAAAGCTCTTAACTTGATGGTTCTTTTTGATATATCTAGTTAGGGCCTGTTTTTGTGCTTTTTATGGTCCTTTAAGTCATGCATGAGAGTATGAGCTACTCCAGAAGCTAAGGATGGTAGATCTTAACATTTTGAGGTCCATTGTTCATAAAAATGCAATCTTGATGTGTTATATTGGACCATGCATGAGTTAGGGTTCTTATTATGGGTTTTATTGAGTATTAGGTCCCATTAAGATATCCAAAGGGGTAAAGCTGCCAACTTTACATGTTAAGACATCATTTAGGATCAGATCTGAGAATTTGACTTAGTGGCTTAACCGATTAAGCACTTAATGGTGAGTTAGGTTGGCTGTGGAGTACGTGGGCGTAGCCAGCTCGTACGCGGCGCGTATTGGACAAGGAGGGCATACACAAAGCGTAAGTCTGAGTACACCGGGCGTACTCAACAACCATTGACTTTTGTGGACTTTTGTGATTTGGGCCATATTTGGACTAGTAGGGTTTTGGGCCTTGTTGGGCCATTAGCCTTTCTAACTTTGGGCCAGTGTTAGGCTTTGGGCCTTCTTGGGTTTGGACCCATTATTGGCCTTGGGTATCATTTAGGAATTTGTGGCATATTGGGCTTTTGGTGCTATTTGGTTGGGCCTCGGTTATTAGGCCAAGTGAGGGAAAGGTAAAATGGTCTTTTACCTTAGGTGTTGGTCAAATGAACTAGATTCCCGGTTATGGTTTATGGCCCAATTATTAATTGGGGTTTTATCTGATTGATTAGCGTAGGGATTTTCCAGTTCAATAGTCGAGTTTCTGTTTAACTGACTGCAGACTGAGGTGAGTTTTCTTACTATACTATAGAACACTAGGATATATTATGTGCTCGTAGTCTTTGTAACTCCTATTGTATGTGTTATATGCATGTATACCTATTTGCTATACGTATGTTGGGTGAAATAGACCCGGTACATCCCAGTGGGATTTTATAAAAGGATTCTAGAACTTTAATAGAATTATACTTTTAATGAGGTTTTGTCCTATCGAACCCGTCCTACTAACGACCCTCCACCAAATAAGGGAGCGGTGGGTGAGAGTGGACACCCATTCAACGACCATTTTATAGGTCGTTTCCTTATACCCCCTTATAGTCCGACTTCGTGAATGAGGCATACTAGTGATTCGACTAACTTGTCTTATA